CTTCCTAACAATGTTATTTATGTCCTAACATCCTCTTCACAAATTTGAGATTCTAGATATGTGAAACAATTTATGAGAAGAGAAGAGAGAGATGTCATACAAAATTTGTTAAATTAACATTTCCAAACATGAATATTTTTTGTAGCAATAACCTTTTACATTTTTCTTCAGTGACTAAATTTCTAAAACCTAATAGGTGACAAGATGATTATGTGTTTGGAAAAACTAAATATCACATATTTTGGGTTCTGCAAGCCCACAAACAACTTTTTTTATCATGAACACGAAATGTACAAGCTTCAAATGCAAATAGCAATCAAAAACGTATTAAAATTAGGAGGCCTTTAAAAGAGATAATTATTCAGCTTTAACATCCAACAAGTTAAATTGCAAATGAAATACCGCATCAAGAGGCCTAAAGAACCGCAACCAACTAAAAAATTACATTCTTTTTCACACACAAAATTATCATTAAATGCAAGAAAATTCATTATTGTATCAAAGATAACCAATTTTACCATCTATTCTGACCAATTAAATAATGAAAGCAGAGGGTAACTTACAGCTCTTATTTCGCATATTCTTTGAAAACAAAAATATCAAGCAACCCAACCATCTCCAATACGGCCAGAATAAATCGCTCAGATATCAACTACCAAATATAAAACAAAACAGCACTCGCATACAGTCAACAAGTACAAGTAATGTCCATTAATAGCAAAATAAATCCTGCAGTATGCAACGATCATCACCGACCAATAATTTTCGAAAGCAGAATGTATTCTGAAAGTAGAATAAATCCTGCAGTATGCAACTATCATCACCGACCAATAATTTTCGAAAGCAGAATGTATTCTGAAAAATTAATCGAAAAAGTTTCAATGATCAGATCTTAAGGAAAACAGACTAGTCTGATTACCCTCAACAAAAACACCTCGAAACTTATAACGTGTGGTTTGTTTTCCATTTTCAATGCCATTGGCTGTCATGTTCCCTGTCCCATAAAAAAACTTCGACATAAACAAAAAAATGTGACATTTTTTCTGTTGATTCCACACAAGAATTGAAGACAATCATGTTCGAGACTTCGGAAATTAAACGTGACATATTTCCCATACTACCCCCATTCGACAAACCTAGATCCCGTTGGTAATGAAATTCTCAATTACAAACGAAAACAGCGTAAACGTTGAAATCAACATACACAAATAACCGAAACATCTGATCTATCTAATTCCTCAAAAACTAGAATAAACAGCGAGGATTCAGAAAGGTACCTGAATGAACGAATCAGTGGTGCTGCTGAGCGTGCTGCTGGCGGTGCTCAAGGTGGCGGCGCTCGTGAGGGAGAGCAACTAGGTAGGAGAAGATCATACCGCCGTAGCAGACATGGAAGATGGGATCGGGGGAACTGGTTTCGATGTACTTGGCGTGGTAGTTGTCCATGCCACGCTGAATTGCTCTCTTTATGTAACCCAACGACATCATCGGTTTCACGTGCTCTGGAACCTCGCTCAACTTCTTCCCCCTTATCTCGTTGAAGAATCTCCTCATCGCCATTGCTTAGCTCTGCAACAAACCCTAGCAGATTTTCCAATTGCGATACCTGATTCAATTGCAAAATTGGGATGGGTATGTGCGTTGATGAATGACAGAGTGTGCCCTCGTGTTGCAGGTGACCCGGCCCGGCCCGTTAAATGGGCCGAACGCTACAATGGAGGCCGTGTTATTCGCACCTACATAGGTTTTATTTGCACAATTCAATGTAGGCCGTGTTATTCGCACCTACCTAGATTTTTA